AGTTTGGACAGCTGCACGCCGGTTAAAGCCAATGTGTGCAAGCCGAAAAGCATGGTCGGCGTCACGACGGAATCAAAAAACTTCATGCGAAGTTTGATTGAGACATCTTTGTTGACCAATATACGGCGATGTCGATGGAATTTGTTCCATGCCACTTGGACCCGATGATTGAACTCAACCACGTGTCTCTGAGTCAATGAGCCACACATGCGTCGTCCCAAGTACTTGTGCGTCTGATCACCTGTGCTCTCCACACACTTCCACAAAGAGCGGTCTCGTCAACGCCTGAGTTGTGAAAATCTTCGTTTTTGAAGGACTGAGTTGCAACCCTACTTGTGCCAACTGGTGTACAGGAATGGCCCACGATGCCCAAAACGCAGCGGGCGCATGCCGGGCATCATCAAAGTGGCCAGCACGCCGCATGTGTACGCAAGGGGCGAGTTTCACGGGGCGGACACGTGCACCGTGCCGTCGAAGTCGTCCGCTCCCGCCGACGGTAACTTAAGCAACGGGCAGCCTGTCATTTATTGTTCTGATTGTTCATATTCTGAGTTTTCCTTCGTATTACTAACATTTATTTTTCCAAATGATACCCTATACCTGTTCTTATTCGTTCGTATCCTTCTTGTCGGACTCTGCTGATTTTTTTTTGAACGTTCATCCCTATGGCAGCGGTTGGCTTCACGGCCTGCATTTGTATAGCGGTGTGCCACTCGCTGTCGGCACAACATTCGTGTCGCCCCTGCAGCTGCTACGCCGTGACAGAGACATTGCTCAGCTTTATGGGTCGCGGACTTGCCCCAAACTAGCACGAGGCAATCGGTGCTACTTGGTCGTCCTCGGCATTGAGGTTGGGGGGCTCCCACATTCGACGCTGCCCGATCCTTTGACGGAAAGCTCCTGAAGCTCCTCTCCTGAGCGATCTTATTTTGATTCGCTCCTTTTTGCTTCTGCACTCATCCGTTGCCTGCGCATCAAGCCCGCTCGGCCTCGGCGAGCACGACAACCCAGCCGAGAGGGATGTGCTCGTCCCCGGTAGGCTGCGCCGGCGCGCGCCACACGCCCCCCAGGAGCGTCGACGCCAAAGCGCGTTGCAAAGCGCAGCCCAGCTGTCCCCACCACCTGCGATCCGACCCCGCGCGGGCTGCAGCAGCGGCGCTGCGGCGCACGCAGGGACCGCTGTCGTGCGAGGCGTCCGACGAGGTCATGGCCTCTTGGCCCTAACGTCCTCCGACCCCGGCCGCCAGCACGACGAGGCGTTGCGGGCCGGGTCGGGCAAGTTCAGGGTAGCGGCGCTGTTTGCGCCTCCGCGCCACATCAATGGCGGCCTGAGGCTGGTTGCGGTTGCCGCTGCCTTTGCCTCCGTTGCCCCTGTGGCCCTTGCCTCCTGCGCCAGCCCTTCTTCCAGCTCCTCCTCGGCTGCCTCGTCTGTGCGGTGGCAATGGCGCGTGGTGGCCATGGTCTGTTGGAGCGGCGTCAGGCCTAGCTGCCGGCCTCTCCTTGCCCCGGCTTCTCGGAGATGGGCTGCGCTCTGCAGGGCGTGGTGCGGCTGGGGAGCGGCTGCGCTCGCGCGGGCGCCATGGCCAGCAGGGGGCGGGGCGGCCTGGGCTGCTGGCCTCTGATGCGGCTGCCACCTCCGCCATACGCACCGCCGCCTGTAATGCCTGGCCACATGCCCTCCAGGTAACTGATGACCAAGTCCGATTCTGGACGCGGGTGTGCACCAAGCGCAAAGCCCCAGTTTTAATCATGATATTTTTGTTTCGGTGGCTTGGGCTAGGAGGGCCTGCGTCACGCAGCGTATCCTCCAGTGGTAGAAGCTGGGAACCAGGCATGGTGCCAGCGACGTTAGGCACCCCGAAAACATGGCAGCAAGTCTGCTTTGCAAAACCCAGGCATGTTGCCAGCGACGTCAGGCACCCCGAAAACATGGCAGCAAGTCTGCTTTGCAAGAAACCCCACCAGTGACGCAGCCAACCCTGCCTGGCAGCTGGGCGCAGGGCCGCAGGAACGCGCTGACCACGGGGTCACACAAGCTGTGTGACCAGGCGGAGCGACTTGGAGACCCAGCGCCCGCCAGCCTCGCAGGCGAGGACGCGCAGCCCTGCGGCCCCGGTCGCATCTTTTCGGGGTAGGCCGTGCGCTTGCGCCTTTCTGCGACAGAGCTCGCGGCACCATCGCGAGTGGCAGCAGAAGCCTGGGGCCGTCCCTCGTGTGTCAAAGGCGACCCGCGGGTGACGTCACAACACAATGCCTCGCCAAGCGGCGTGCTCGTACATAGCGAAATCAAGGCGGCGGCGATCGGTTGGGTCGACACCAGGGTCTATGGCGACCATCGCTCAGGCTGCATGCAAGTTGGCGTGTTGGCGAGCACAGTCTGTGTGCAGCTTGCATCTGTTTCGTCAACGACGGACGCCGCATTGAGGTGAACGCCGATGGCCGCACGATTTGTCAAGGCACCCAAATCGATGTGGAAGCCTCAGTCGTGAGCCCAGTGCGCCAGGATGGGTTGCCCCGACCCCCAGCCGACCAACAGCCGAGCCTCGGCCTAGACCAGGCAGTCGACCGCAAGCATCATGCTTACCCGGAACTGCGGCCAGCATCAAGAGGCCGTCGGAGGCGAAGGCCAGGTCGTGCAGCAGCGGTTTGCCCCCACGACCGGCGCTTCGACCTCGTCGTTTACGGCGCCACCGCCAACGAAGGAGCGCCATGCAACACTGGTGTCCCAGCCGTGCCCCCGGCGAGGAGGGCACCATGCGCCCTGGCGTATCCGGGCGTCGACTCCTTCGTAGGTCGCATGCGATAACCTGACTGCCGGACTCCGGTGTGCGGACGAAAAATAACGCGTTTTTTTCGAAAAGACCCTGTTGCGGAGTTGGCGGAGCGGGACGGTTTCGCTTCCCGTGCACCACGGAACATTCTAGCCTCCTCCTTGGTAGACCTGGGGCTGCGCCGCCCGGGCTTGGGCAGTGTGGCGTTCCGCACCGAACATTTGGTTCTTTTGCGGCCGTTGCTGCATTGCGACCTGGTCAGGGTTCATGGTTATTGACAGCTGTTATTTTTGTCAGTTTTTTTCGCGCCTTTTTCCGTCTGGCCCGCCTGCGCGTCAGCGGAGCTACCTGACTACAGCACGTAACCAGCTACAGTACGCATACGGCGGCTCCGCCAGGAGCTCTCCCAGCGGCGGCTCTGCACCGTCGCTGGCGTCGCAGGGCCGAATCGGCTTACGCTTGAAGTCCTCCGTGGGATCGTTAATTTCGCACATTCACCTGGTGGTGGGACAGGGTTCAGCTATGCTAACTAAGAGGCAGTGCCCTTTGCGGGAATTGTAGTCACTTATGGTTTGGTTCCAGGTGGATGTCCTATGCAACACTAATGTCCCAATGTGTCGAGCTTTCCAATGGTGCTAGTAAGCCGTCCGCGAGAGCAGGGGTGTACGAGTTGGGGCATGTTGTGGCAATCGCTTGGTTTGGTTACAGTTGCTGTCGTGCGCCACGCTCGAAACTTCGCTTGTTTCCCGCTTCCTTCTTGGCTCTAGATGTCCAGCGCAAGGAGGGTGGTCCACTGCTGCAGCTGCCCGCCATGTCTCACATGTTCAAGAGATGCCGGCTTGTCGTGCTTGCAATTGACCGGAACGTTAGGACCGGTTGTCTGCTTCTGTTTCCGACTTCATCCAGCATTGGGGAAACCTGCTGTCCTTTGCTGCCGCCTGGATCTTTTGTTTCTACCCAATGCACACTGCATGCATGCATTGGATTGCACTGTTGATGATGTAACATAACCCCTCGCCGTGCAGGTCGTCGCCGCCGCGTCTCTGTTTTCTCCTTCCGCCGCTACTGCGGCTGTGCTCTCCTGGCCCTTTTTGACGTCTGGTGCGACGCAACGATCGCTATTCAGCTCCACTCCACCACACGGCAGCTGCAGAAATAGCGCTTGCCAGATTCAAAATTTTTTCCATATTAGACCAGCACGAGATGGTCATGTTGATGGCGATCCTCCTCTTCTCACTGACTTGCTTGCCGATTCGGCCGTCACGGCTTGCGGTTTTGGACAATTCATAGTGCGCATGCAATGCATGCAACCTCGTAGTACCTGGCCCAGAGCCCGGTATTGGTCCACAGGCCCCGGCTGTCAGACGACATGGGTTAAGGCACAGGAAAACGTCAAGCTATGCTGCGCGAAACAAATCCAGACTTTACGGCTATACGGTATGGAGGGAAATGTCGTGGGACATTCGCGAGTCGAGTTGTAGGAAAAACGATGCAAAAAGCCAGAAAGACACCGAGCAAAGAGGCAAGTGACTTCAATCGCTGCGCATGCTTTATCGTTGCAGCACAGGACCCACGGATTGCTTATTGGGCAAATGCTTGTGCAAAGACGGTTATTGCGCAGGCAGCGGCCCAAGTCTGGTTGCGAAATATCCCGTGCTCGAGTTGCGATCGTTAACGGAGCATTGATGATATTGATGCGTGAAACGTTTGTTTGGGATGTCTGAGATGGCGACATGTGCAAGCCGCAGGCCGGTGAGAGTCCAGGGTTTCAAGTGGACAGTCATCCGGTAGGTGTTATATGCATCGGTGGAGGTATGCTTCGCCGGTGCAGCTCGCTTCTAAGCCATGCCAGCAATTTTCGGCATGTTGTGCCATCGGATCTTTACCAGCGTCTTGTGAATGACGGAGCCAATAACTGCAACACTTTTGGCTGCAGCAGGACGTGTGTAGTTGTTTCCATGTAGGGCGGTCCATCATGGTGTCCCGGGCTCACGGGCTCCTCGCAGATGGTAACGTTTACAAGTTCCGAATAGACAATGGTGCCAGCGACGTGATGTGGGCATTGCGGCCTCGGTCGAACATGCCGTTGTTACCTCGACATCAGCCCAGAGAGTTCTTGATCTCTACAAGCCATTCGGGCTATAACGGTGCAGCACATGAAGTGTTGCCCACAAAACGACAGCCAGCTACCAGCTTTGGCGTTGGGGAGGCAACTGCAGGCCTTCGGAAGGGTTCAGAATTCCTGTTCAATATTGACAGCGGCAAAGCATGGGATCAATTCCAGGAGCTGTTCAAGACACCAGCAGTGTTGGCCAAGTACGATAAAGATTTCGAATATTGGGTTGCAGAGGCAACGGATGCAAATAGCGATTTGGTCCGGGCGAAGGAGTTGCTGCAGCAAGCACTTCAGGATCAAGCCCCGCAGATCGAAGAGGAGCAGACAGAGATAGATCAGGACTGATGCGAGTTTGGTTTCCTCGTGACGGCTCCCATGTCAATTGATATTAATTCAGATATATCGAATTTCGTTTCACCCCTGCCGGCCATCAGTTGCCACAACCAGCATTTGGTGCTGTGCCTGAGCACATAAGCAGCTGATGCTTGAAAAAGTAGCCGTCGCATAAGGCAACTATGGCGCACCTATTGAAGGCTTGTGCTTGGCATTCACAGGAACCACCACGGTTTCGACCAAATCGTTGGCTCGCATTCTACAGCGGAATGAGTGACCTTGCCAGAACCTGAGCGAAGAGTGCCGATCTGCTGGTAAAGTGCGGGTCCGCACAGCTGAGGAGCAATTTCCCGAGTACGAAGAGCTGGCTGCTCATATTGCAGTGTGGTGCAACGTTGGGCAGTGCTGCACTGACTCTGGAGCCAAGTGTAGGTTGGAAGAGGAGTACGTCCACTTCGCGTTGAGGCCGTGGCGAGAAGCCCCGATTCAGTGAGGGACAATTTCTTGACATTACCAGGATATCTCCAGTGCCGCTTCTTTTCCTACTTCTGGGCGTCGTCGTGTCAGTCACGACTTGTGTGTGGGACTTGCTTCCACGCTTGTTTGGCTACTTCAACCGAACGGATTCTTGCGTCCCTTAATGTTCAGGCTTGTTTATGTTGTGGTGGCAGCGGTCGAAACCTCAGTTAGAGCAGCAGAGGATGTTCTATTTGCACCAACATGGCGGCCGTCAGGAAACACGTAAATGCAAACCTGGTGCAGGATACCACTTCAGCATGGATTTTTCAGACATGACGCATGACGGGGCCTCGTCGCTGTCTTCTTGACTTGTTTCGTGTTGCGCTGTCTGTGACTTAGCGGGACCAGAAGGCTTCAGGTTGTGTTTTTTTGCGATGTTGACCAGAGGACGAGACGAAAGGCTTTGTGTCAGGCCCGCCCCTTAGCAGCCCTGATGCTTCAAGGCGTCTGCTGTTACAGCCGCTGCGAGGCACAACTGGCAATGCAGTGATCGGAGACGAGGAGTTTGCTAGACGGGCTTGGAAGAAAAGACCCTCGCCGCGGCCCGAGAGTCCAATGCTGTCGCGGTGCATGGGAGTACTGTTGTTGTGTCCAGTTGTAGATCTCAAAATCACAGGTGTATTCCCATGTTCTGCGCCGCGCTTCTCATCATCCTTCTGTGTTTGCCGGGGCCTCGCCGGAAAATTAGATCCTTTTGGTTTTTGGAGGTGGTAGGCAGGAAGAGCGTTTGTCACGCTGATGTGGGCGGCAGCATCTATCTTGCAGAGGAACTTTGAGAAGAGTTGGAGAAGGTTTTAACCATCGTTGTTTTCTCTTGGGCATCGATCTTTGTCTTCCCTAGTTTAGGCCATGCTGTACGTGTGTAAGGCTTTTGTTGTTTCTTTGAGGTTGAAACGCTAGGTGGTTCTGTGTGATGGTGGAGTGAATGCCCGGCCCAGCTTTGGTGGCCTTACCCGGATCGTCAATGCTGCTTGGACAGCCGTGTGCTTAGCAATGAGTTGAGCCAGGACATTTTCTGATTGTTTTGGTCGACATGCACAACTATGACTAGCTCAGGAGTACATCATCGTTTCGTCCCTCGACCGGGCGATGGAGACTCTGACCGAAATCAGTCAGGCTGCCATGTTTCCAGTTTTGCATCGAGCAGGACAACGCGGTCGACATTGCAAACGCAAGCTTGACAATCAACGAAACGGTGGTGGGCTTGAGTCCTAGGGATACGCGGCTAGCTACTCACGTCAAACTTTCTCAGGTCACAAACTTGCATGACAAGCTGTTGGAGGCCATGTGAGCTCAGCTGCCTGGCACTAAGCTGCCTTTCCTACTCCCACGCCTGGCAGCTCCCGTTGACGTGCAAGACGGACAGCAAGTCTCACCCTCAGTTGCTTACAGCAAGAGCACTGAAGGTGTTGGGCCGAGATGCTAGTAATTACTGACAGTTGCTTTTCCCCAAACAGGGTGGCACGCAGAGAATTGGTTCGTGCGTTGCTGCGGATAACTTTCCCCGGGGCGCGGTGCATATTTCGTGCTCAAGCCGAATTATTTTCACAGGATCCGTCCGGAGAGCCCGATTCGGCGAATTTAGAATGTCTGGGCCACATTTCGGCCCCAGAAATGTTGAATCGCTAGCGCTTGGGGGAAAGCATTTTGGCCGTGCTCTTCGCTGAATTCCGCCAGTACTCGGGGGACGCAGTTTGGACATTGGATATGAGTGTGCGTGTGGGGTCTCATGAGAGCTCTTGCTCGGTGTAGACTGACAAGCTACGATCCGAGATTACACTTTATTGACGTAACTTGACTTCACAGCGTGTGTTTGGTTTGATCAGCATAAGTCACATTCGCTTCCATTTCTTTAGCTCTACTGGAGTTTGAGTTTTGTGTTTGGGGTCCAGCCTAAAGAAAAAGACTTCATGATTCAACTTAAGTCAGGAGTCCGAGGCTATGAAGTTGGGGGCTTTGTGCTTCGTGTACATTGGTCGCACCGCATTTCGGGCAATTCGAGCGGGCTTTCTCAAGATTCAGTTTTCATGTAGCCTCTCGTGAAGACCTTGTTGCTGCTGCTTCTGCTGTTGTAGGCTTGCACGGATCTGATGAACCGGTCGTCAGCACAGTGCCGAGATGGCTCAGAGAGCGAGAGAAGCTGAAGCGACGCGCACCTTCAGACGGAGTTGCCCAGTGCGCGTGCGCGCAGGGGGGGGGGGCCTCCCCCCTTCAGGCTGTGTGGAAGAAGACCTCACTCACTGTTTGGTGGGCTGTTCATCCGCTTGCTGGAGCGGAGCTGCATCGTTTTCCGCTAACAGATTATCCTGCTGTTTTCGTCCTCATGCTTCTTGTTCGAAACAACTAGCATCGAGCCTGGCACTTAGCAGTCGGGGCTTTGACAGGAATTCCTCACAGTAGGAACCGTAAGACCGTGGACCGTGAAGGAGCAGATAGGTGGCCGGGTTCCGACACGTGGCATGCAATTTCCTCCCGTGATCGACAAAAAACGATCATAATATCAGATGGGCCACTTGCATGCTTGTTTGATTTGAACCTCCCTGGTCGTGTCAGAACTCATACCGGGTTGAAAGATCAGAGGTGGAGCCTTTGTACAGTATTCGAGCAGCATGTCCCGTAGCACACGAGTCTTTTCGTTACATCGCATGAAACCCAGCATCTGGCCGCCTTACTGACGGAATGCTCCTGTGCAGGTTGCTGTGTTTCTTGCCATTCCGAGGGCTGCCAAACAAGTCCTCTACACCTTTGTGCACAGCGCTCTCGGTCGATGCCTCGTCACAATCACTGTACTCACACGAATTAGAACAATACTTGGTCCGATCAGGTGCGATCGACGACTATGTCGAGCAAGTGTACTTCATAGTCGAGACAGTGCTTGCCGTAGTTTTGTTTCTTGACTCAGCTTGCGCAGCTTGTGTCAGCGATGCCAGATTCAACCCATTCCTGATCAAATTGGGAAATTCAAGCAGTTGACGCATCGTCCGTAAGCCCAGTGCATCTGCCTGCATCACGAAGAAGTTGGGGAGTGTTCGATTCACAGCGTTCTTAGGTGCAAAGCCCTTCTTTGCATCACTCCCATTGGCCCCGCTCTGGCTTGTGCCGGTGCCCCTGGCACGAAGCATCCTGATGACGTGTAGCATCTTTCCCGTGCTTTGGTGATGCTTCTAAGGGCGTTTATCTGTTCTCGCCTCGGTGTGGGCGTGAAGCGCTGACCTTAGCTGACCTTCTGTCTTCCCGCCTATTTGAGGCATCGCAATCGTGGTAGAGGCAACATGTACCACTTGCTGCCCCTGGCCCAGCCGCAAAAGCGCAGTCATCAGAAGCTTTGCAGAGCTCGGGCGAGGCCGAAGCAGCTCCCTGGCAAGGTGTGTGGACGTAGGCTCCGAGCTTGGCCTGTGCCCGCCTTCGTTGCTTAGTTTCCAGTTCGATGAGGCCTGAAGTTGTCGGCCCTCCTGTTTGGGCTCATCGTGGGTGCCTGACGACTCCCTCACAACATGTACTGCAATTGTCTGGAGATTGGACAAGTCCTCCAGCTCGACCCGCTGCTCAGGTTTTTGTGGTTGCGGTGCTGGTTTGCGTGGAGACGGTAGCGCTAATAGCTCTCAGCCAGAGCCCCATTGCAAAAGCAGCTCGTTTGCCGAGGAAGCTCTGCTTTTCGAAGAGAGTTGGACCCTGTGTCTGCTTCAGGCAAGTTCTGCGAGGATGTTGATCACAACGTTTTGTCCTACGTAAATTCCACCACGCCCTGGGCCCGGCGATCCTTCTTGCCTTTGGTTCAGCTTGCGATGCAACCAAGCGCGAGGTACAATATTTCGTACATCATACCAGAAATTGCAAACTACTACATTCGCTCGGCTCTCGAACCCCCGACACATGTCTTCTGAAAGATTGTTAGTTGTGTTGTGAAAGTCCAGGCGGCGGGGACCGGAATCCAATCGACGAGTCAGCGTCTCAGCTCCTCTGCAACTCCACTGGCCAGGTGAGAGGTGCATGCATTTTCCCTGTCTACTGTATGACTGTATGTGAGACGATGCTCACCAATGCAAGAGCACGGTGGTGCCACAGAGAAGCTAGCTCGCTGCTTGTTGTTATTTCATCTGCTTGAAGCCCTGAGTCCTAGATCCTAACTAAGCCCAAAACTCTAAATTCCCACCCTGCCTCCTGCACCGTTCCCATCCATAACTGGGTGACCGGAAATTGAAGATGCCGGGCAGCCTTTTGCACCTGAACTGGGGCAATCAACGGGTGTGGCCCTGCGCCCAAAGCTACACAGGTAAACAGCCCAAGCCGCAAATCTCCAAAGACAGCACTGGGCCGGCAGCTTCGAGTGCCGAGCCAACAAGAATCGAAACCCTAACAGGACATGGTGTGGATGGTAATCTTCTCAAGAGTCACCATCTAAATTCGAGGGATGACTGGTTCGAATCAAGCCCGCTACGTAGGACCATGATTGTTGAAAAGTCTCGCCCGGCTTGTCCCGGCTGCGGGAGTCGAAGCCCTGAACTCCATAGCGTGACGCCCGGAACTTGCGAAGCTTGGCATACTTCTTGATATTTACAGGCCCTGAAATGCACACGTCGCCTGGGCGAGACCTTCGCGAACAACCGCGCCGAGGTATTCGATCGCAGTTCGAATCAGTACCGCCCCTGTGCTCCGGGTCCGCAGCAAACACACCAAAACGCACACCGCAAAAAATGTTGAAATGTCGCGGCGGCCACTGGCAATCAAATGACTTTCTGAAACCTTGGAGGCGTGTAAACCGAGCGAAGGTACGACACCCTCGCGATGAAGTACATCAACCAGATTCAGGACTACTACAATCAGGCTTGCTCGCATTGGCAGCTAGATTTCAGTTTTTCGTTGCGATGTGTTTCAGGCAGCCATCGGGGTAGCCGGCTTGGGCCTGGCTTGTGGCTTGCTGCAAAAAGATGGAAAGTGACAGCCTTGAGTGCATCCGTAGTCAACAGAAGCCAGGCCCCGCATTCTTCGATTTGGACGTTAATGCGATTGCAACCAAAGCACGTGGAATCTTGGGAAAGCCGGGCGCTCAATACTGCGCTTTCGACTGTACCCTGCAATGCGTAGCTAGGTGGGAGGCAAAACATGCGAGAGAGGCTAGTGGCTACAGCTAGCACATGCTTGCACTTCCATCGGTGTGCAATGGCGGTTCGGGTGCCACGGGGGTATGTATGGCCTGAACCCGACACCGCAGAAGATCGCAAACTTTACGATCTGCAGGGACAGGAAAGTAAGCCAGTCTCAGCCAGACCCGCTGATGTCTTGTCACCATTGTCGCTCTGTAGCCAAAAAGGTTTTCCTGCACGCGGAAGTGGCATGACGCTTAGAGTAAACACGTACTAAATGCGGACTCATTGAATGTTTGAGTGAGAGAATTTGAACAGTTTTCTTCCACTGTGCTTCATAAGAGATTCGATGCAGCTTTCCAAAGGGTGTTTTGTTAAATTGGCACCGAAGCATGAGGGAAGTGGAGGTTAACTGCGATAGCTGGCAAGGGCCATGCATCGTAGCAGAAACTGAGGCAGTACAGTGCAGGTAAAACGGAAGATCAATAGTATTCAATAGTTCTATCAGCGAACAGGTGCCCACGCCAATTTGTCATCCTTCAATGTCGGGGGGGGGGCAGCCTTGCAAGTCGAATTGATCTCTCCCAGGGCAGGATAGTGAACTTGCTGGATGGCAGGGCGAGGGAGCTGTTGAAGGGCGAGAATATCTACCCCTACTACAGGAAGGCTCGGACGTTTCTGCTTCCTGATCCTGACATGTGGTGGGGAGTTTCAGGTCGTTCGTGCTGGGATCTGCAACGTGGTCATCAGCGGTGTCGGGCATCCCAGCAGATTGAGGTTCGTTGAACACTGATTGTAGCCTTCGGATGGAAAGCCTTCTGTTGGTACTGTACCGGCCGGACGGTACCGTTCTTCTGATGAATCCCGCAGAGGGATATTCGGCCAAAGCTGTATTGACAGACAGGCATTGCAGCATGCGGGCGAAGTGCGCCTGCAATTTCTCCTCTCCGGGACACGACTTCTTGCTCAAAGCTTGCTTCTGGCCAATTCTGATCGTCAGCATGTGGCGCTGCAAGGCACCGTTCGGAGGCACGTGTGTTTTTTGGTCCTGGAGACGTGGAGCAGGTGTTTTGTTGCCGATCCTCGAGCCACAGTCGAAAAAAGTTGTAGCGGCGCCCACAGGCGACAAGTTTCACACAAACCCGATGTCAAGCATGCATGCGAGATAGATGTCGTAAAGGAGGCCTGAAGTGCAGAATGTGTTGTGCCGGCCAAGCCTCCGCCAGCACATGTTGGTCACGTCGGAATGAACGGGCGATCATTCCCTATGTGTTTCTTGTAGTTTGACATTGGGACTTTCGGTTTCATCCTTGTTTTGGGCCTTCATGTCCTTCGGCCCGACGAATCTTTTCCGGATGCACCAGGTCGGATGGATGTGGCTGTTGCAGGTCGTAGTGGGCCAGACCCTTGGTTTAGCGAAGTGCATATTCTGGGTAGTGGAACTGTGGAACACAGTCGGGCGTAATTTTCATGGCTAGCGCTGCAGGAATGGTACTGTCTACTCCTTACTCGGTGTGCTGTAGTTTGAGTGACGGCTCTGTCGGGAATAGGCTCCTGGACGAACCGAGGTTTCCGACTTGTGTACGACACCCGGCCGGCACACGAAGAGCATGCCAGATGTCGAGTTGGAAGCTCTGGAATCTTGCCTCGTAGTGCCAGAGGCCATCTTGACCCACAGATTTCTTGTGAGTTGGGCAGCCTGGCAGAAGGTCAAGGAGGCCGCACGATCGGTGACCGTATAGATGATGGATCAGTGGCATGTGGAGGCCCGACGGGCCAAGAAGGTGGACCCTCAGCCCTGCCGCCTAGTCTGGCTTCACGATGCACAGCGCACCAATCCACAGCCAGACTCACGCCTGCAAGTGTTTCTCAGGTCAGATGACAGCAGTGATTCTGACGATGGCAGTGTCGTGAGTGACATGACATCTGGGACAGAGCGGAGCCCCATGATGGGCAGACAAATGCTGCCAGCAGCACCGTAATTACTGCGGTGCTGGCTCCGATAGTGTAAGAAGCCCGCAGCGGACAAAACGTCTGCCACGGCATCCTTTTGGTTAAGACAATTAAAGTAATTAAAGGCAGAGACTCCTCCACTTCCACGGGGCCTCTCTGCACTCCTTGGCTACGATGCCGAGACACACGGGTCGCTGGATGGTGCTCCAGGAAAGACTTGAAGCTCACTAGCCCAAGCCAGGCCATTCGACAGTTGGATGCTCCTGCTTGGGTGACGAACCCTCCCTTGGCTCCTGTCGAAGGTAAGGTAGGTGAGAGAGAGACCGCCAACATGGGCACGCTGGTCTCCTTGTTTTTCCACAGATGACCTGGGACTTGGTGGACGTCTCAGTGTTGGGTGCAGACAGCCAGAAAAAATCTGCTTCCGTTGAGTTTCCGGCAGGTGCAGGTGGGAAGTTGACAGACTCACCTGTGCAGGGATCGAAGGCCCAGTTATCAATCTCTTGGCCAGAGAACTCGGGGGTGCAACAATCAAACCGAGGTCGTCCTCTTATGGGTTTCTTTTGTTGCCGATGCAGGCGGTCAAGGTCAACTCCTCAGCTGGGCCGCTGTCAAAGAACGAAGTTATTCATCCCGTTCTCAACTTTTGGTAGCAAGGAGGTGGATCGCGCCAGCTCCCAGCCAGGCAATATATACCTTTGTGCTTAACCTCTGACAGCTGACATTTGCTGAGTATAATCTTGAACAGCTTCGGACCGTGGTACCCTTTGCCAGTGCCAGGAAGCTGTGACCAAGTTATGTCCGGAGCACAGAAATACTCCAGCCAACTGGTGGCTGGTGGCACAGAATAACCGCAGAGCCTTGATTCAAGGTGACAGCCCAAGCGCTGGAGCTTGCCCGCACCTGACGGGCCAAAGTGCTCAGAAGCATCAGAACAACAAAGCTCGGAAGGCGTGTCGTCTACATCCACAGCACCTACCGACAAGGATTTTGTGCCACATATTGCTTATCACCTGTGTTTGTCATTCTAGTTCTCTCTTGCGAGCCGTTGACGAGCTGCCAGGACAGCGTTGCTGGGTTGGAGACTTGACCAGTGCGTTGAGATTCGCCAATTGGTCAGCCATTATGCTTACGTCATCAAGGTCGGATTCATCCAGACACCAGGAGGAACCGCAATTTGTGCAGGGTGCCCGGTGCACCCGTCCGTCGTGATGAGCAGTCTTGGCATTCAGATTCCGTGGGCAAATGTGGCAGAAGTTGAACTCCGTCACGGTTTGCCGCTCGAAAGCCATTCAGGCTTCAGCTGCCAATTAGGTGCTGTAGTTGGGCTCGGGTGCTGGCATGATGCCCTCAAGAACCGCGCGTGTGTCAGCTGGCCTATGCAGTTCAGTCTTGGTGCTGGGTCTGGGAGCTTTAATGCTTCCGAGCAGTTTTGTTGGCCCGATGCGTGGGCCCAGTTGCGCAAGACTAGGAAGTCCAAGTGGGACAGCGAGGCCGACTCGCTCAGTGACAGAGACATCGGCAGGTTCGGCAGGTTCGGCAGGTCCGGCTGGAGGGGTGCTGGGACTGGGCCTGGCCATGACTCTGGCTGGTCTCTCTCGATCGCCTCACGCGCGGCAAGCCCGGCAAGTCCTGGCTCTGCGAGCGGAAGCAGAAGCGAAAGAGGAGGCTGAAGAGCCAGCTGAAGCTGAAGAAGCGGAAGCGCAGGAGTCCAGTCGGTGGCCTCATTAAGCAAAGCCGAAGTAGGGCAACTCGAAGTCATCATGTGTAGTCCGTTCAGCACAAGGACGAGACAGAGGACGTGGAGGAGGCAGAGGCAGATGAAGAAGAGTGCCCTGGCTGAGACTCCAATCTGGGCTCTGGCAGCCAGCAACCTTCCCTAATCAAAATCCTGGCTAGTGGACTCTTGAGCCTTGTCTTTTTGTCTGTTCAAAAATGTTCTCCCGGCCGGTGTCCTGCGTGCATTATGTTTGGAGTTTGCCGACCAGAGGCAGAAGCCCTCGAAATGGAAATGTTTGGATTGCGGCAGCATGCCACAGCCCCAGCTCCCGTGTGTCCACAAGAACTTGTGAATCTGCCATGCAGCAAGGAATTTTGCTGCCAGCACGGAATGCGACAAGTGTGGGGCTGCGAAGCCCTCGGCAGAAGAAGCCCAGATGATTGAGGAGAGGGACAAGGTGGCAGAGCATGTATTCTGAACATGTCGACGAACTGTTCAAAGATAGTTTTATGAAGTTTGTCATGCTTGATAATGAGGTCCCCAGTTCTAACTGAGAGTGCATGCCAGGCCAAAGATGAAGTTGCGAAGGTCATGGATGGATTTCTCAGAATGCAGGCGGCGATTTGTCTTCATCACGTGAATTGATATTCACCCAGCTGCCCCAGGCCGACTTGCAGAACTATCGCAGGAGCCATGACGAGGCGCCATGTGAAGCGCCTCATATTTCTGCCAACGCGAGACGTACCGAGCTGCCCCACTTGCAACCGTGCACACATTAATGCCAGATTTTACGGTCAGGCCATGGCACGAGCAAAAGATCTTGGCAAAGTGGACTGAAACATTGGAATCACAAGCGAACTGCTGGCTTTGTTGCAAGCTCCCATTACTGCACTAAGCCGCAGGATGCTTTGCAGAAGCTGCTTCCGATTACGGATGACATTGAAGCCGCGGTAGCCGAGCCTGAAGGCTGGCGCTGGTTATGTAGCAAATGCTCTCCTGGTGCACCTGGAGACACATTCCGAGGGTCCATGGAGAGCATGCTCCAAAACAGGTAGACTAGCAGGGCAAGCATGTGTCGTTCCTGTAAGTATGCGGTTGAGCGATTCGAGAAAGGTTTGGGGGTTAGGTGTCGTGTTTTTTAGGGTTTAGCTTGTTTGTGTGAAGCACATGTTTCTGAACTTTGATCGGGCTGACAGTTTCAAGCTTTCAGGTGTGTTTTTGTGAGCTAAGGGTCTGGCTATCTGTGGGATTTTTGTGCACAGCTTCTAGCTTTTCGGGTTTGGGCAATGCAGTGTCGTGAAGTTTCCATTGCACAATTCCGGTGCGCGCATGCGATTCCGAGTGCAAACCTCCCTTTCGGTCCACACATGGCCAAGCATGCGTACCTTGACAAATCACGATGTCACCGTGCTTGAATGAAAGTTTTTCTTTTCCCTTTGGTTTTGTAGTGGTCTTGCAGCCGTCATTTGTCGTAGATCGAACATTGTGTGAATAGCCCGGCTTCAGCACGATCGGCTTTGGGTAGGTCTGTACACGGTCTGTATGTCACCTCAACAGGCTCCCCAAAGCTAATCCGAAGATGCTTTGCAGCAGGCATGGATGCCAAAGACAAGGTGCGGGCTGGAATATAGCCACAGCATCGCCAGCCGGAAAGTACAGCACTGTTCCGTCACCCTTCCGAGTGTCATTGCAGCGGTCTAGCCCACTGCAGGCGATATTTGATTCCTACTCGCTTCTGTTCCGGAAAATTGGTGACGTCTGGACCAAGTTTGGGGTGGACACGAGCTTCGGCCTGATTCAGCTTTAGTAACAAACCAATGACCTGTGAACTGTGGCTCATATACGGCTCAAGTCTTCAACCCACCTAATCCTTGCCCCTGGCTGCTGACCTGGCTGCTTGTGCACGTCGATCTCAGGCTGACCGTCGCTGCTGGTGACATGTATGACGAGGATGCGCATGAGGTCGTGCTAGCCACAGCATTGGAGACAGGAATGGTCCCGAGAACTCCTTGGCCTTGGCCTGTGGTGCAATTTGCAGACGGCTGTGATGCTTGATGCCGAGGTGGAGGAGCGAGAACCCACGGACGGCCAAGCATCGGGAACAATTATCGAGGTTGTGACACTTTGCTGTGAGAAGTGTCAGATTCAGATGCCAATTGCCGTGCTGTGGCAGCACCCAATCCAGATTGCACTGCATCAGCCCTGTCCCAGGAAACCTGGTTTCTCTTGTGATGGCAAAGTGGTGATCTCCCCGCAGGTGCCCCACGGCAGTAAGCTATACTGGGACGATGACTGCCAGCTTTGCAAAGCAGGTGATCATCGCTTCGTCTTCGTCTGCAGAGGTCTCGGCCGTGCTTGATTTGTAGAAGATGTGTTTGTAAAAGGTAAACATGCAGTCGATCGGGCAGGCAGAAGAAGCTCCGGAAGAAGCTTGCCAGCAAAGTAGCCCCGTAGCGGTCATGGGCTGGCAAGAGCCGGAGCATGGGGAATGCCACCGCAGCCAAGGAGGCCGAAGCCGCCGCGTGATGCTGTTTATATTCTTTACTGCTTAATTTTCATTCTTCTGTTTTCAGCCCGCAGCATGGCAACGACACCAGTCGCATCACATTGAAAGCAGGCGATGTGTCTACCGAGCCAAACCAGGCTTCCCGCAATTGTGCTTAGCCATATGCTGTGGCTGGCTTTCTTTCATTTCTTCAGATGCAGCTACCGGTACAACGTGGCAACTTTGTGAAGTGCAATGGACCGATGTGTGTGTATCTCAAAGCCTTTGTAAAAACATAGGCTCGAATACCGGCTGTCCTCATGCTGCACGGTTTTTCATGCCTACCAGTTTGTTTTCATTACTTCTGTCGGAGCTGACTCCTGATATTGAGCCGGTGGCTGGTTCTGGGTACTGCAGGGCACCATGTGAAGCATAGACTTTCGAGATCTGCAGCAGAGGTCCGTTGTTGAACAACGCAGAAACGGCCCGCCTGGATTGCACGTCTTCATGTGCACCATGAGGGCTTGAGCCATGAAGTGTCAGCATTGTCATCGTCGCACCGCGTGCTGTTTTGTCTGCCGAAATTCGCTTCAAGCTTGCAGTTCCCTGCATGCTTCCACCATGCGGTGCTGTTCTTACGACTGGACGAGACCATGAAGGCTTCTGTAAGTCTGATTTGGCTCGTGGCTTCGGCTGAGGTTGCATGGGCGGCTGCAGCTGGCAATGCTGATAAGGCCGGTTCGCTGGGGGGCGAGACTTGTGCGTCACAACCCGACTCCTGCGCAGCTCAGAGATGGCGTTCTCACACTTAGAGTCGGCTATGGCATCTGATGAGGTTATGTTTGTGGACGGCAATTCTGGGACTTGCCAGATGCACAAACGACACGCAGGTGCATCAGTAGAATAGAAACTTCGTTTGTGTAAAGCTTTGTACAGACATTCGTGGACATGTTGCAGTCCTGTCAGCAATATAACCCGCACCTGTTCTCGATGCTCCAGGTGTCTGTGGGCATTACTTTGCCGGCGGTCAACACCAGCAGCACAGCAGCAGCAGTGTCAAAGGGGGGTATTGCGGCAGCTGCTGCCGAAGCAGCCGGAGCCAGCAAGGACGAGGTAATCCAGAATGCTGCAATGATAGCGGGCCAAGCAGCAGCCGAAGAAGCTCGAACTGCCGGAGAGCCAGAAGTACGAGTGGAAGCACAGGCTGCCAATGCAGCTCAAGCCGCCGCTCTCAGGGCTGGAGCGACTGGAAATGAGGCGGCGGAGGCTGGTGGTGAGACAGCAGTACTGGTGGCTGGGCAGGCCGACCGTCCGACTGATACGTGCTAGTCATGTGTGACCCTCGCAATGTGATACAACCGGACGTACATTGACGATGCCGAGGTGAGTGCACCACCAGCGTTGCTTGCAGATGCTTTTTCCATAGTCAACGGAACCGGTTGCTTGAACTGGTGGGGCATCTTGCCTCAACCATGACCGCTTTCTCGTTTGTGGTTTCGTTCATATCCAATCGTACCACAGACTCGGAGTCTTTCAGGTGACGGCTGCGCTGCCATCACGGATCATGATGCGTGCTTGAGCTCTCGAGATGGCGGCGATCTTGCAGAGCAGCTGGGTGAGCACTTGGAGCTTTGTTGAGCCTTGGGAGCAACCGCGTCGGCCGTGCAATGCTTGCGAAGTAGTTCGAAGGATCAATGGAGTCAAAGTGTTTGGAGAGCCTTGCGTCTGGTGCGGTGGCGAGAAGTGTGGCGTGGCACCCTCAGCCTTGCAAGACCAGCTTCAGTGGGTGCAAGCGATTCTCCTGCACAGGCCACCGATTCACTTTGTGTTCCGCGGAATAAAGGAAGCACTCTGCATTCCGGCATGGAGGTGGCATCTTGCACAGGCTGGACTTTGCAAGGGCGAAGAGCCGTGCGTGGACTAAGTGCATGTTGGCTAGAGGCTAGCCCTTTCAGGTGAGGGTGTGGCACAGTGCGAACCCAACGCAGGGGTTGTTAGTAGGGTCCAGAGTCTGCCAGCTAGCGTGAGAGACCTGGATGAAAAACAAAGTCTACCAGCAACGAGGATATGAGGGATACTGCGGCTATGTACAGCCTGAACGGCCGAGTATTCAGGAAAACACAAGTACTTTGCGATCGTTGGGTTTGCATATTAATATACGTTGGCGGAAAGCAATGGTGAAACAAGGGCAAACTCGAGGATTTGGTTATGCATCACGACAAGTCAGCTGTAAGGTGCTGTGGGTCTGAGGAAGCAGGTTGCCGGCCCAACGTGCGACAGTAGGCATGTCGAAACTCATCATTTTTGCTCATCTGTTTGTCTATGTGTGTACCAAAGGCAGGCCAGTCGTCCCTGTCATCATTCACTCCACATCCTTAACATCAGATTCGTCATCCACATGACTATCATCGTCAGTTCCTGTTGAGGTTATAGACTATAGGGGTTTCGGTTTGGAGAATCGATTGCGGTGGCGGTGGGGTGTGGTGGTGGGGATGCACATGGAGCGGAAAGGGGGGTTGCCGCGAGATGGTGGGTGGCGCCACAAGGCGAAATTAGTTGCACTCAAGCGTATGCAACCTTCCATACTGGTTTCTCGACAGACTGGGGTGATGGCGGTGCCAGCCCGGGCGTACCACAGAATAATCTCTGCCAGATGTGGTCAGCTAGCTTTGTGGCCGATTCGGGTGCCGAGAGCTTGAAGAATCGAAACCTCAAGAGAGTGCTTGGTGGTGACTGGATTCGGAGCATGCAACAAAGCCTTCATCATGCTTCTTGGCACCAGGTGGAAGCGGATTGAGCTTGCAGCCTAGACATTGGAGTTCTTGTCTTCGGAGTGTGGCGTTGCAAGCTTCTGCCGAATTCCCCCGCCTCTCAAGGCGAGACTTCTGCGGCGGCTCAGTGGAGTGAGATTCCTGTCACTTGATTTAAGCAGACGGTTCTGTCAAGAGCATGAAGGAGTCGGTCGCTTTTTGGACCTTGCACAGGCCAGCCTGAAAGCCGGCGGATTTCCCCAACGGGAGCTTTTCTTTGTGTTTCATGGCCGCACGATGTAGCACATAAAGGCGGAGCGCATGGCATTCTGAGACGCGCTGGTTTTTGCTTGGGTGGCTTTCATCGTCGCCAGGCTTGAGCTTGTTACTGTTGGCTTAGGCCGAAGAAGAGTCAGAGTGTGGCAGGAAAAGGGGCAGGCACTCAGAAATGTAGCCTTAATTATGTGCCAGATGCTCAATGGCCTCTACATGTGTCTCGGAAGGTGGTGCTTGTCGGGGCGCGTCAGCCCAGGATGCCAGTGGCTAGCCAAGCAAGCTTCTTCCGAATCCTTTGGGGCTCATAGTTGGCCCACGAACTCAAGTGCCAGTCCTGTTTGGCGTGTTACCTCTCGAAGGCAACTTGGACCCATCGAAACGTGTCTTGGATGCACAAGTGCTCACGAAGGCAGTGCTCGGCATTGTGGGGTACGACCCTTGAAGGAAACTACTATGCTACCTGGACAGCCGCCACCTTGAAGGAATGCCTGGAGATTTGCAGCTGGAAGCAGGACGAGAGATTGCAAGGGCGGCTGGAATCGTTTTTCCCGTGAGACAACGGCATGGCTTTGTAATTTGTAGCAAGGGGGTTGAAGCCTGTAGTCGGCTAGACCAGCGAGAGTGTCTATGCTTCCAGCGGCGCCATATTCAGGACTGCACTGGTGTGGAGTTCTCCGAAAACCATTCCTACTGCGAGGCTGAAATCAGCATAGCATGTGCAATTTGCTAATTGGGTCTCAGCGACGCAGAATGCTGGCTCAGTTGAGGTCTGGAATGTCCCGATCCATTTCACAGATCCTGCTGCTGGCAACTACGAGTGTTACGTCGCATATCCGGAGTCGGGGCAGCCAGATGGGATCAAATGGCGGGCCTCAGGCGGATTGTCCACAGAGAGCATCGCAGAGCCAACATCCACCAACCTGACACTGGAAGTGGTTCTGGGAGCAGTGATCTTGCTGGGGATTGTGGTGGCGATCCTGTGCGCTTGTAGAAGGTGGAAGAAGAAACCGAGAAAAGCCAAAGCAGAGGCTGCCAGAAAGAGAGGATTAGACATCGACCAGCATGCTGGCGATGCGGTGGGTTCAGGCGATGAGATGCAGCCCTTAGTGAACGGGGCGTTTGATTACTCATCTCCCACGAGTGTCCGACTCAGTCGCTCTCAACGAGAACATTGTAATGCAAGCTGAGCGTTCGGTTGGGAAGGGTGTGCCATGTTTTGTCATGTCTGATCATGTCTGTATGCTTTTAAGTCTTGAGGTAGCCTCGCGTCAGGGTACGGGGGATCCGCTTGGAACCAATCTGCGCGGCTTGGCTGCGTTTGACAACCGCTCGGCCCCTTCCGTCAGACGTGGTTGGCTTGCCAGACATTTGGCATCTAGGGTTCATCGTTGGCTTGTCTCCATAGTTCCCCGATGTTCCCCGATGTCTTTACCGGCCAGTGCTGCAGCTTGCTCAATCAGTTCGTGATGCACAAGACCTCTTCTGATTCAGGCCATTCTCTTTTGCGCCAGCCGGATCGCAAGCTGGGCAGGCTTCCTATGAGCCCTTGGCTCAGGGCAGCCAGCCAATGGACCCTTACAGAGATCCCCAAGCTGGAAGCCAAACCACCTACCTTCAGCAATTGCGGCAGTGGTTGCAGCTTCGTTGCACGCGGAGGGTTGTTTGTAGACTGCCTCAATGGAGAATGTGGCTAGCATGTTAAGCTTTGCTCACGATGGATGATTTGTGCACGAATTGTCCGAGGCAAGACTACGAAGCTTACCAGCATTAGATCGTTTCCAGAGCCACAAACCAGAGTGCTTGGATTCCTGTCCTGACCGAAAGTCGTTGAAGGAAGCGGCACGGTTTCGCGAGCTGGCACAGCTGCAGGCAAATGCACAGGCTGGTGTCGAAAGCCACATCTCTTCACATGGTGCACCCGTTCTGATGGCACTTGCACATCGAGCAGGCTCGGTTTGGCTACGCCGACGGGGTGGCTGGCGGTAGTGGTGTGCCTGCAAACTTGTAGGATGCATCCCGATTAATTAAGACCGACAATGGGTAAGTAGCCGGCCAACGTGCCAGTGCTAGATGTAATTTACAATCGTGGTTTCGGACAAGATGCTGCCAAAGGGCAGCTCCTTGTGGAAGCCACCCGTTTCACTCTGACGACCAAGAGCAGTCATTGCAAGATAATAGCTGTGTCTATGCGCATGCAGCAACCGCCATGCATCATCCCGGAAGTTTTCTGCGACTGGCACAGGATCAGGCAGCTCCAGATCCCATGTTGTGGGTTGTTCTGGAGGTCTTTGCATGGAGTCTGCTGCCTTTGCTGTCCGGACATGGCAGCGCTTTGAGGCCGCGACCATTGACGCAAGAAGAAAGACAGCTGGCATGGCAAGGAACTTAAGACGCAAAGACGGTGAGACCAAGGAGACCATCTGATACCCCAGAAGTACCGTTGCTAAGGACGGCTGCCAACTTCTTCGACGCTGTGTCCGAACAGGTTGCGATGCCTTCACATCGTGAGACTTTGTGTGAGGTAGTGCGTTTATGGGAGAAGCCAGCACTACGGCAGTAGGTCTCGAATGGTTCAGGCCAGCCCAGTTGCGTTGTGGATTCTTGGGCCATCCTCGGTTGGCAAATCCACGATAACTGCCGGATGCCTGGCATGCAAAGGGACCGCCATGATCCGATCCATTCTTAGCTACCTTCGGTTCAAGGTTGACGTCGCCCCATCCTTTGGAATACTTCGTGCAGGCCTGGACCTGATAGTTTAAAAGAAGCCGTGGACCCTTGCACGCCAAGGCTGGGTGGCATCCGAGCAGCAGACGGACCGCAGGCCAAAAGCAAAGCTGTGCTAAAGCCTCAGCGTTTCAGACCCCATGATGCTTTCGTGCTCAGGAGACAGCTTGATGCCGTCGTAGTTGACGGCGAGTGCCTTCCCTCCTGCAAGCTCGGAATGGGACCAAAATTTTGCGTGGCGTTCATGCAGTCCGCATTCATGCTCAGATGCTCCTTTGAGAGGTACATGCGCGAAGCGCATGGGGTTTGGCAGGCTTGGGTTGGAACTGATGATTGGCGTTCTGCATACCCCGTGCCAAGCTCGGCTTTTGCTTCAACTTGTCAAGAGATCGTGATACAGATATGGCGAAATGCCGCAAATCTGCAGGCATTGAAATCGTTCATAAACAAAGAGAAGGACGCCATCGATTAGATGTGATGAAATTCAGGGTGGCAGCGTGAAGCGACTCCTACATACATTGTCTGTGCAGGACGACATGTGTGCTGAGGCGGCCGCGGCCTTGATCATGCTTGATGCAGTTGATTAAACTTGCTGTGGTTTCTGGCTTGCCATGTTGTGATAGCGGTTGTGCTCAGGTGCGCTGCCGCAAGAATTTGGTCATTCCTCAGACGGCCCTTAAGCTGCCCAAGGCACGCGCTATTGCGTTCTCTGCTTCAACGACAAACCCGAATCATATAAGTCCGGCTTTACCCAGACGGTTGTTCATTTGCCTGCAGTTCGTGTGCTCCCTCCCGCCTTGTGACTCTATCCGCTCTATCCATAGGCACTGGCTGAAATGGAAGACCTCAAGAGCCGTAGCAAGCTCGGGCATCGAGATGTTTGGGCAGATGTTGCGTAGTATTCAAGATCTTGTTTTCAGGCGGGTACACGAATCACGTCCTGGCCGTGGTAGCTCCTCTAGCCGAATGCGAAAGACGAGGGCACCACAGCTAAACATACGACTGCAGGTTGAGTCTCGGCAATGAACAGTGCACATCTTTGACTCACAATGTGTGCGGGTAAGGCAGAAGCGAGAGCTTACCACCGGTAAACGCTACCAGCCGGCCGAGCCGGAGCCCAAATTTTTGAGCCAACAAATGTCCAGCGAATGTTAGCGGCCGCCCATGTTCACAAGATACACTGGCCCGAGCTGTGAGGTTTAACCAGTCCATATCGGCAATACCTCCGCTGATTGCAGCCAGCAATGGCCGCTTCAGAATTGTACGGCCCTCACCTGCTTTGGGCAGAGCCTGCCATCGTCGCAAAGTCAACAATTTGCTTCGGACGAAGTGCTACTAGCAGTAGTAGTAGTAGTAGTAGTAGTAGTAGTAGTTTTAGCTTTCCACGCAGCGAAAGAGTCCGCCAAGCGTCGGGTTGGAGCAGGCATTCGATGCCCGGAGCCATAGGCTCATGACTTGTGTCATCTCGTAAAGAGGCAACAGCACACACCGCTCCGAAGAGCCTTAAGCATGCATGCTGCTCGGTACGCTTTGATTGCCAAGAGTGGCATCCTTCAGGACATAAAACAGCGCATAACAAGTACGATGCTGTTTCTGAGTAACATTCTGTCGCCACTTGGCTTTCCGCTCGTCATCACAACCCCAGTAGCCATCCTGCACAAGACAAGCAGTGTAGTGACCGGAATGCTGGGTAGCACCATGTTGCTCAATGAAAGCTTGCAACACATATTCTCGATGCTCAACTTGGTGCCTCATTCCCCTGAAAATCGGCATCCTGATGTCGGAGTCAATCTGAACCTGTACATGGGATTTAGTGACACGACCGCCCAGTTGATGGAATCTGTGAAGCTGCAGACACAAAGCTGGGGGAGCAACCACCAGACCATGTATGCGATCCAAACCACATTGCCAATCATCAATTAATGATTGAATCCTCAACTTGCGTTGTTGTCTGCGCTCTGCAGTTGGTAAATGCAGAACAATAGGACGATTGCACAGTCCTTCATCAAGATGTCTTGACACCCCTGTCATGACTGGCTGTCGAGCTTGCCATGATCCTGTAAAGATGCCAAAGTCAGACATCTGCAGAAGGTGAGAAATGAACTCGCACACATCTTGTTGACGATGAGCCTCACCCCATCCTTCCAGCATGGAAGCCCATCTGTCATCCTGAATCAAGTGTAGCGGCTGCATGGGAGGATTGGTCAATGTGTCCACGAATATTTGTGTCTCAGCTCCTTGCAAAGTAGACAACGGAACGGCCATGGTTTCCAGAAGCCATAGAAGAACCTGCACCGAAGAATTCATGTAGCACTGGGAGCCTGAGTTGTGCATTATGACATGCGGTGCCTTGGTTAGCCCCGGCGGCCATACAACATGTCCATGATCTTCTGCTCGGCCGGGCTGCGGGCGAGACTGTCCGTTTTGTAAGCCATGCCTGCTAGCTGGAACACTGCATTGCCCTGAAGCATCTTGACCGTGTCCCACATAGTCACGGCACTGTGGCTGCGAAGCGACAAGTCCATCTTGTAAGTGGCCGCTGAGCTCATCGTCTCCGTCATCTTCCTGGTGCAGCAGAATCTTGTCACTATGGGGTGGCGGAGGCATTGTAGGATGGTGGCGAGGTGGTCCAGGATCTGATCGTCCGGGATTGGGGGTCGTGCCTTGTCCACCTCCAGGATCTTCAAAGTCCGATTCCATGTTTGGAATCGCCATCCCCTGTCGTCTCACCATCCCTGATCCGTCGCCCTTTTGAGCTTCTCCTGACTCGCCAGGGTGTTGTTGAGGCGATCCGTGACTTCCTTGAACAAGGCGATTGCCAGCACCATGCGGAGTGGCATCTGTCCCAGCTGCCACTGGGGCTCCGCTTCTTGTTTGGCCTTGAAGGTCACTGCCGTCTGGTAGAGGTGATGCATTATCGAGTCTTGTCCCGGTTTCAAGAACAGTATGAACGCCGTGTCTTGACGAAGAATGCGTAGTTCCTCCTGCTGTTTTAGCACTTGCTTGGCCAAAGAAAACACCAAGGGATCTCTGTCGTGGCCCCGTTGTGCTTGGAATGGCGTGTAGCGTGGAGGGTGGCGATGATCTTCGTGCGGGTGACGAGGTCGTTTGTTCGGGGCATTGGAGAGGTTCATGAAGTGGCTCGGCGTGTTGTGCCTTAGGCCCTCCGTGCTCTGGTGTGGCTCGGCGTGTTGTGCCTTAGGCCCTCCGTGCTCTGGTGTGGCATTTCTCCCCTTTCCTGAACTGACCCAAAGAACGCATCCATCTCCTCGTCCATGGTGTACATGGGCCTGGTGATATGCACACATAAAAGCACACTGCCACAACGTGGTACACTTCTGAAGATGAGCTCTCCAGTCCTTGTGAATACTGCCGCAATAGTGGCAAGTGCTGCAAGGAGTGGCTCGTTGGTCGATAAGGCGTTGGGCTGTTTTCTGCAATTGTCTGTAAAGATCTGCATGAGAGTGTTGAAAATGCCTCTTCATGACTTTCTGCGAAGCAACCCACTGTCCACACACGACACAAATTTGAAGCATAAGGTTCGTGAGCTGGTGCTGCCCAATGAATGCGTTCAAGCCCTTCTCAACCAACTGTTGTACCGGAGCCTGCTGAATCATAGGCGTGATTGGGTGAGCAACACTGATCTCTGCTTGGACCGCTGAATTGACACTCGGCTTGATCATGTTCACTTTTGAGGCGAGCACAGCCGAAGAAGCGCGATCCTCTGATTGCACTGATGGAAGAGTCCTCGAAGTATCTACCGTTCTGTTGCCAACAGTAATGTCATCGACTTTGCTGCTGTCCCTGACTTGATGTTCATTGGGGGGGGCGGTATTCGCTGCAAGGTATCGCATGACATACTGCTCGGGCATGAGTTGTTGTTAATGTGGTTTCGAAGAGTTTGCCATCTACTGAATCGCTTGTAACATCCAGCACACTGTGGTAGGCCTCCGATGGCGTGCCGCCTTTTGTCGAAGATATCAGTGGCTTTTTCAGTGATTTGATGTTTACGCTGTGCATATATCTTTAGTGCTGCAGGACTGACAAACTGTTCATCGCACACCGGACAGGCCCACACTTCCCTCTCCGTGTCAGAGGTAGGCTCAGATCCGCGGTCGCGGCTTGCAACGAAGCACTGATGGCCTCATCCCATGTTGGTACTAACATCCAGTCACCCGGGTTTTGATGAGCAAGCTCCCGACTGTGGGCTTTATGGAGTTATGGAGAAGCTGGAGAGCAGGCTCGACCTGATGTTTGGTCATGATTTCGTCATGGGTGGTGCCAGTGAGGAACGCCTGGTCTGAGACAATGGCCCGGACATGCTTCATAATCGCCTTCTGAATTGACCGTATTTGTCCCGAACTGAGGCATAGACAGTGCATGGCATACATCATTGTGGACAAGACACAGCTCTTCCACAAGTTGAGCTTGTAAGGCACTGACATCTGTCTTGTATGGAGTATGGAGGCCATAGCCCACCTTCGTTGATGGGCCTTAGAAAGTCTGTGTCGTACTGCCTGCGCTTCAAAGCTCTCGTAGGAGATGATCATGCCTAAGTATTCCGCCTTGTCCACCAACAGGATCCACGTCGTAGGATCTCCTGCCGACAAAAGAAGATGTCGGTCAGCGCCGTGTTTGCGGATGTACTTAGTTTGTATTTTATGCTTCATCGGTCCAGTGAGGCTCATGATCGCCTGGGTTTTGCTGTTGTTGACTTTCATGCCCATCCTCCTGAAGACCGCAAAGACAAGCTTGAGCTCCGTGACAGCGTTCTCAAACTGTTCAAATGAGCGGAATTCCCAGTTCAGATGTGAGTCATCCGCATACAAAGTGGCATGCTCAGCACACCACCTGTCTTGAATGCAGCCGATGCGTAGAGTGGACCGATTGGCCTGGATGCGAGTGTCAATTGCCTTGCCCAACAATGCCGTAAATGCAGCCCACAAAATCGGACTACCAATGCAGCCTTGACGAAGACCCCAGGAGGGCCAAATCTCCTTCTCCAAGCCTTTGTGCTGGAACTTGTAGCGAACCTGACCAAGCCATTGTAACAAGAGCTCCTGAACGGATGGATCTACTTCTGCCAATTCCATTGCCTCCTTGATGGCGTGCCATGGGACCAAGTCGAAAGCCGCAGACAAGTCCATCGAGACCTGCAGTCCCCCCGAATTGGGGATTTGCTCAAGTCCCTCCTGCTTCTGATGCAGAGTGAGTCGATGTTGGGAGCCCGCCTCCCTGACTCTGAAGCAGTGCTGGTACACCCTTTTGAGGGCCGTGATTGTGCTCCTTTGAGGAACATAAACGCACTGAGGCCATTCCTGGACTAAACGATGAATTTGATCCTTTGCCTGTGAGATGACAATCCGCATGATGCTCTTCCCAATGGGATGCTGAAGGCCAATTGGCCTCCAATCAGCTGGGGTGTCATTTTTGTTCTTCGGTTTCGGTAGCGGTAGCAATGCTACTGAGGCGTCAGCCCATCGTTGCGGAACCATGAGGTGCTCTTGCTGCCACTGCTGATTGATCTGTGCCGAGATGAACTGTGCCACCTCTGAAGAGCATGCTCGCCATATCACTGAGGGTGCAGCCTCTGCCGGTACTGCCTTCCGAACAGGGAGATGGATAAGTTCGTACTGTAGGGCCTCCGCTGAGATGTTGACCGGGTGTTGTAGACGAGGTCTGCCTGTCGATGAAGGGGCCTGTCTGGCTCCATATCTAGCACCGAACTCTTCAATGATCCAACCGAGTTCTGCCTGCCATGATGTGTCCATTCCTGTATAACTAAAGTCTTTCTTTTAGTTTTGGGTGCAAGGGACTTGACCACGGTCCATACCTTGTGCATGTCGCCGACTTTGGCAGCCTGCTGAGCTTGTTGGAGTAGCTCAAGTTTCCATGCCTTGCTGCGATTCTTGGATCGTTGCTTGTGTTCCCGATGAGCCTGGGTGAACTTGGCCCATTGTTGCCATGCCTCGAAGACCCCCGCCGCGGTGAAGGAATGAGAGCGCATGTCTCGGAACAGAGCCCACATCTGCCTAGCACAATTAGCTAGTTCCTGAGTGGCCTCCACTTGGGCAGCCGGCTTGGGCTCCAATGAGTAGTGCTTGCAGGCGATGTCGAAGATCCCGTCCTCCAGTGCATCCATATTTGACCATTGTTGTGCATGGACACCCGTTCGAACCTCCGAGCGTAGAGCTTGTAGTCGTGGGGGTTCCTTGTCGGCCCTGAGGTCGGCGATACGTCCATTAACATCTATTTTGGGCTTACTTGGGGGGGCAATCCATTTATTGTACGGCACCGAGACTGGGGCGAGCACCGGATGATGTTTGGCCCCGTCCCGCCAACACGCCACTGGGAACTGTGGCAACACCTCAGCATGTTTTGCGCGGCTTCTGGCATGACATTGTTTGCAGAAAATGTAGTCAATTTGGGAAGCCAGCTCGCCAAAGGTGAACAAAGCCAACTGTCCATGCGTAGGCCTGTGCCAAGTATTCAAAGCCGTCAAGGCGTAAGTGGAGAGTATGGCCATGAGGTCCTCTTTGTCCTGTTGTCTGGCCGGGGATGGTAGAACCCATTTACCGCACACATTGTCCTGTGGCGTGCAGGTAGCATTCATGTCCCCTGTCACAAAAAGTGCATGTCTGGAAGGGATGCCTCGTAGTGTAGCATGTAGTTTCGTCAAGAAGTTCTGCCTGCGTTCCGGGGTGAGCCTGTTGTCATTAGCAGTATATTGATGCAGATTGAGCACATCTACGGGGCAAGCCTTGTTGATGCGAATATGCAGCAAGCGCCCAGGGTGTACTATGTGGAACTGTAACTCAGCTGTGGTCGCGACCCGCTTGGAGACCATGATGAGCACCCCACCATGCGTGTCCTCTTTGGCCTTGCCTGCCGAATGTATGAAGTGAAAATCAGGCCCCGACCAATTTGCATCGTAGTTCCAACGTGTTTCTTGGATACAAACGATGTCCAGCATGGTGTCTTTGGAGTATGTCTCTAGCTCACGGAACACCTGTGCATGTAGGCCTCCACTGCTCCAGCTGAGGATGCGTAGGGTTCTGATTTCCGGTTCACGTCGATGAGTCCTGCCCAGAGCTTTGGTTTGAATAGGAACAGGCTTAAACCATCGATGCGGGTGCCACATACCCCGGTAGAAGGCTCCGCCTTCCCTGCATGCCCGAGCGAATGCGCATCGGTACGACCGTTTGGCGCACCGAGAAATGCCTGGATTGTTGGGCACCGTAGAGACCCGCTGTCCCTCGCGCTTTGTCATAATGACTTCAGATACCAACCCTCGCGTCAATGTCCACGGCACTCACTGTAGAAGTACACATCACCAAGTAAAAGAGTGCGAAAATCATGTGACGTGAAAGTGTCCTGCCGTGAGCATGTCCGGAATTGGGACCGGACCGGCTGATCTTCGGGCCCTCGTATAGACGTTTCGGGTCCATGTAGGTTGCAAGAGTATACCATCGCCACATCTGTAGCTGCAAGTGTAAGTGTGCACTTAGGCTCCAGACCAGGGGAAACATGTCCTGAATGTACTGGTAGTAGGACAAGAGTTGCCACCTGCGCAAACCAAGTTGTCTTAGACCACATCGCTGTGAATTGTTTGTTTGTATGGAGGTCCGTGCAGGCGTAGTGGATGCGGTGCTGGCAATGTACCTGGCCAGCCAGTATAGAGAACTTGCAATGTAGAACAGATACTGTAGGACCAGTGATGCCGTACTAGTGCACGTCTGCTGATGCAAGTCATTCTTTTCCGGTGGCGTGGGTCTAGCATCGCGTGCCATGTTGGCTGATTGCAGAGGCTGAAGATGGCGAGGCCAAAAGTGCCAAAGTGCGGTCGCTTTGAAAAGCACTGTGGCGTCTGCCGTCATAGAGCCGCTTTGGGGTCCATAAAAGGATCTATGCTGCAGCTCATTAGCTCCTATCAGAGTGCCGCCGCCTGGGCACACGCAGTCGAAGGCAGTCAAAAGAAAATTTGCCATGTTTCGTGAAGAGGCTTGGCTATCTCTAGAAATGGTGTGCTCATGAGGCTCCGGCTTCCTCCCCGGTGTCGCACGTGGCTTGGCAGCTGCAGTGCTTGTCGTGGTCCTCGGCGGGCCTTCGTCAGCATCCACCCTGCCCGTAGGCGTGCCGTGGATGGCCGTGGAGCTGTGGATCGTCGCCGTCTCCGCTGCCTCCGCTGTGTCCTCCTCAGCCGCCATCTCGAAGAGAGCCCGGTATTCTTGATGCATCTCAAGTCTATGCTCTTCTTCTGCCGTCATCCTGGATCGGCCCTCGCGGCTCATCGCAGCTGCTATGTCCATTGCGACGTCCAGCTGCCCATCTGCATCTGGAGTGGGCGGATTGCACTCCAAAAGGTTGGGGTGTCTCGTATCCGCCGCTGACATGTAGCTCACCCGGATTGACGCCTCTCGGAGGTCCTGCCACGTAAATGGCAGATGTGTGACGGCGCGGATAGGGTACGATCCGGCCCTTTCCATCACTCCAGTCACTGCCATTGAGATCTGATGGGAGATCTCCTGGAGGGCCTGCACCGGTAATGGTGGAGGAGGCCCATTCAAGGGCCCATGCGAAGATCCCGAGGTCAAAGGCCTCGTAGAGCTAGAGCCCGGGACCGACGTGGCAGCGGCTTGCTCGGTGGACCTTTCCCCATCGGAGTTCTCGGATCCCGACATAGGGGGAGTCGCCATTCCACAGCAAAATTGCTCCGACCCTTGAGCCACGCATCCCTGAAAGAGACGAGTGAGCGGGCTGGGCTGATGCAAGCAGACGCACATCCTTGCTACCAAGTCAGACAACTCACAGGAAATGTGCAAAGGGCACATGGCCATGCGCACGAACTCCAATGAGCATCTCAGCCACCTGACCAGAGCACAGGAGGCAAGTCCAGCTTTAGACTTCCTTCGTTTGCACCTGCGGTGGTGTCGCCTCAGATATCGAAATCTCCAGCGTCTCCAGGTCTTTCCTCTACATGTAACAAGTGCAGTCGGGGGTTGGGTGCTTGTTGCCTGTCCTGTCTTAATCCAGAGCTTGTAGGTCGATGCATCCCACCCAGACAGTAAGGATCTGCAGCGTCCGGCCACAGCGTGCTGCTGAGGGCAGGGTAGTATAAATCACACCATCTCTGCAGAATGCCTTCGTCCGGTGGGTATGGGGAGCTTCGGGCTTCAACCAACGGTCGTAGGGGATGCGCTTCCAGCCAGAAACTGTCCCAAGCATTGAAGTAGTCCGGGTTGGACAACCAACCTCTAGCTTCTTGCAACATACATTGACCAACGTACGTTCGCCAGTGAAGACGTAATTGAGGACGTTGGCATAGTTCTCTAGCGTAGGTTCTGGCGGGGGAGGCCGGAATCTTGTTCCGGTCGCCTGCTGCACTGCCCGCTGTACTGGCTCCACTGCAGTTCCCGGACACCATAGACAGTGTTGGCCTCTAGCATGGAGACCGTGGAGAGCATTTTGCCGCCCCGCGAGCCTGTTGACAGTGATCAGGAATGGGAGAGAGTGGACGATGATGTAACGATTGCTGCTACCCTTGCACAAAATGTTGCGGCCCACGAGGATGAGGTTGCCAACAACGCGCTCTCCTCCTTCACCTCCTTGTCGGTTGATGACGCTCCTTTGGAGACGAAGCTCGAGGAGATGGATGCTGCCTTGGCCCGTCTCCTGTCCAACGGGAGTGAGAAGGTTGAGGTGAAGGAAGCCGTGGCGCCAACAGGTCCCTGAGGGGTCCACACCTCCCCAGGATGTTGCAATGGAGGGGGCCCCACCCACAGGCGACTTTGTCCCTGAGGTGGGTCCCCCATCAAAGGACAAAGATGCCGCCATGGACGTGCCCAGAAACCCTGATCCGGGACGAAGCCAACTATGCCGGGCTTCATGGCATGGAGTATGACGAGGACAAGGAGGAGGAGGCAGCCCCCGCAACAATAGGGCTGGGATACCCTTCTTCTTCGGCTGCCCGCCCGTACTCTGCCCTTTCATCTGGCACCCTCGAAGAGACCTTGTTCCGCATTGAGGGCTTTCCCGACGACTTCCCGGGCATCAGCAAGAAGAGCGCGGACTTGGCAAAGCAGTTCACCAAGGAGGAGATCGCATCCCTCTTCTCGCGGCTCCGAACGGAAACCGGACCCGACCAGCCGTAGAGAGGGTACTCGAAGTCTACCAGATCTACAAACGGCAGGTTGCGCAGCAAAAGATGCTTGCCGCCAATTACAACAAGGCCGGAGCGGGGATCGGCCACGGCAAGCTGGGGCAGCTGAGCCGGGGAGCACGGGTGCCACTCTCATGTGCCCGGGCTGCTTCGCGGACTGGGTGAAGACCAGACAACAAGGTGCAGGGCAAGTGCAAGCTCTGCGGCAAGGAGGTCATTGCCGTCGACAAGGGCCCCCCGACGGCCCAGATCAAACTTGGCGAATCGACGTGGTTCATGTTCTGTGGCCCTGAGGGTGTCTCTTGGCATACGGACGCAGACGAGGCCCAGAAGGAGGCGGCAGCGGTGGACCTTGGCTCGTGGGCACAGCCTCCACCAAAACCCTCCGACCAATCTGAGCTCAGCTTTGCTGATCAGGTGCCTTTGGCCCTGAGGCTCAGTCTGGCGCACACGGTGGCCAAGCAGCCCTTCGACGAGGTTCAGTTCGCCAAGAAGACGGCAGGGGAGCGACCACACATCCAGGAGGATTGGCAGCCTAGTCAAGAGACGCGCGCCTTCCACCCCCAGCTGGCTGCAGCCATGGACATCCAGAAGAAGAGGGCGGGACCGGTGGACCAACGACCGAGCAAGGAGACTGAGGAGGAGTTCATGAACAAGCTGAACCCCCAGCTGGATGTCATGACCCAGATGCAGGCGGGAGCACATGAGGTTGCAGATGCACCGGGGGCTTCGGTACTTCGGCGCCTGGACATTGAGAACCTGCGCTCCCTGCTCAAGCGCAACTACCTCCAGGGCCCTGGTCAGCAAGGCGAGGAATTTTTCGCAGCCCAAACTTCACTTGAGGCGGACAGGGCCTCGAACAAGCGGATGCAGGAAGAGGGCGAACTCCGCGCCAAGCTCCTTAAGCCCGTCGTGGAAACCATCGACACCTGGGGCCCCCAGCTCCGCGCTGCCCTCGAGATGAATGTCTTCAACCCGGACACGCCTCTCAAGGACATGGAGTTTGATGACATCGAGGCTCTCCGGGACAGGTACTTGAACACCAAGTTCCTGCTTGGCCAGAAACGCAATCCTTTCCCGGCCTCCCTCCTCCAGGAGCTCCCTTCCTTGGCGGCGATCCAGGGAGAAGGAGAACGAGTCGCCCGGGATGATGACAGGGGGCTGTCTTCCACAGGTGCCTTTGGCCTTGAGGAACAGTCCCCAGAAGCGGTCCTGGGGGTCCCCGTGGGGTCCATGGAGTACCAGATCATGCGCCTCAAGCGCTTGGTTGAGCTGCACCTTGGGGAGCAGAGGATGATCGGTGGCAAGTGGAAGAGGGTTCAGGGGGCGCTGTCTGCCCCCACTTGGGCGAAGCCTTGAACGGAGGCGGAACAGGTGATGCTGGAGATGAGAACCCACCCGCGCACATTCCGGAGCCCCTTCTTTGAGCCGATTGCCCTGGCCATGGAGGAGATCGAGTCGCAGGTGGCCATGGGGAACCGGCGGCCCTCAGGAACATCGTCGGCCCCTTCCATGCCAAGGACGATGACAGCAACTTTCACTGGCAGAAGGAGGTCCAGACATGGGACCTCATCTCTCTTTTCAGTACCTTCGGCCACAGCTACACGGCGCATCACCTCTATGCGGTGTGGAGCCACTTGCCCATTACAATCAAAGGCCACAAGAGGGGGGCGAAGAACAAGGAGGCGAACAGCCAGCGCCGAGACGATTTTCGGGCGATCCAGAAGGAGGCCAAGGAGTTTGTCCTGCTCCATGATTTGCCCGCGCCCACCACCGATTTGGAATGGAAGCAGCTATACCGGAAGATGGGCTCCTTCTTCGCGGCCAAGACCTTTCTCAGCAGGACCCCTCAGGTCGTTTTGGACATGCCCGTCTCCGACGTCCATGACTCCAAGGATCTTAGAAGCGCATCACAGGCTGTTTCTAAGTATGCTTCTTCGG